AAAGATAATGGAATATTTCCATGAACTTTTTGAAACTTTCTGAAAGTTTGATCACAAAAAATAAAGAGAGAAGAATTGTGGTATTGGTGAAGAATATTGAATATGCTGTGGACTGGTAGAAGAAGGAAGAAGCTGGTCTTAGAAAAATTAAAACCAGAATGTTTCTTAGACACAAGATATCAAGACTTCAACTCACTTACTTTGGATACATCATCATGAAAGATCAATTGTTAGCAAAGTACATCACATTCAGTAGAGAGTGAATAAAAGCCAGGGAAACCTTCAAAGAGATGGACTGACAACAACAGACTAAAATATACTAATAATCATGAAGATGGCACAGGATTCTACAACGTTTTCTACCTCAGGCTTTGATTCTAGCTTTAACGCTAACTCAGTTTCAAGACTTTGGTCTTTTTAATAAGACCAACCTTGAGCCTGGCTATGGGTTCAATTGTGTCCTCCCAAGATATGCTGTAAATTCTAACCTTAAACATGAAAAGGAGTTCTGGTAGCAAGCACAGCTGCTAACAGAAATGTGAACAGTTTGAACCCAACAGCTGCTCCTCAGGAGAAAAGACCTGGTCATTTGCTCCCATAAAGATCACAGTCTAGGAAACCCTAAAAGGGCAGTTTTACTCAGTCCTATAGGGTCCTTGGAGTCCTGATGTGGCACTGTGGGTTAATGCTGGACTGCAAAGTTGGTTTAAACTGCAAGGCTGGCAATTTAAGCTCACCACTCCTTTCCTAAAAACCCTATACAGGGTCCCTATGGGTCAGACCAACTTGAGGGCACTCAACAACAACACAGGGTCCTTATGAATCAGAATAATACCTGTGGATGTAGTCCCATCAGGAATAGAGTTTTGTTTGTTATGATAATTAAGCCAAATCAGATACGGCATATTTTAAGCCAATCATTTTTGAGACATAAAAAGAGCAAATTCGGCAAAGAAGCAATCAAGCAGGAATGTGGGAAAGACAGAACATAGAGATCTCAAAGGCATGCCCCCCAAACATATGCTAGAAAAGTTGCTACAAGGATTTCAGCCCTGGTTCCTAGAGTGGACAGAGGAAATTTCTCCTAAAGCTGGCACCCTGAATTTTACTCTCCTAAACTGCTATGGTAGCATAGTGGTTACGAGTCGGGCTGCCAACCTCAAGGTCAGCAGTTTGAATCTACCAGCGGTTCCGCGGGAGAAAGATCAGGCATTCTGCTTCTGTAAAGATTTACCGCTTCAGAAACCCTGTGCAGAGTCACTATGAGTTGGAACCGACTGCACGATACTTATCAACAACAACAACAAACTGCAAGAAAATAAATTTGTCCACTAAATCTACCTATTCATAGTATTTCTGTTATATAGTAGCACTAAGAAACAGAGAAAAACCGCTACCAGACTCCTAATCTTTATCTTGATTATTTTTCTACTTTCCATAGGATTCACCACTTTCATAGTATATAATTTACTTATTTATTTTGTTTGTTATTTATTACCCCATTTCCTTCAGGAGAATGTAGACAAGAATCTTTCATTATTGCAATTATTCACATATTTTTCCTAAGGGCTGGGAACAGTGTCTGGAATATAGTAGGTACTCAATAAATGTTGCAAAATTAATAAATGAATGATTCATCTTAGTAAGACATCTTGCTCTCATCTGCTGACCTACTCATCAACAAACTCCATTTCTGTACTACACATGCCCATCACTGTTTGCCTGCCCAGATCTCTTTCTTACTAATAATAGGCAATATACATTTAATGTTATCATATACCAGGCACTGTTTGAAGCATTTTTGTTGTTGTTAAGTGCCATCGAGTCGATTCTAACTCATAGAAACACTGTATAGGGTTTCTGAGGAGTGTCTGGTAGGTTTCAACTGCCACTTTGTGGTTTACATCGATCTCTCATTCCAGAGCTTTATCCGACTGTGCCACACCAGGACAGCAATGCTTTGAGAAACATGATATTACCTTTCCCACAGAAAAGCTAAGTAATTTTCCCAAAGACATAGTAATTAAAGGAAGAGTCAGAACTGGAACCCAGGCAGTTTGGTTTTAGCACCCACACTATTAAGTACTGCTCAAATGCCTTGCCCACATAGCTGGAAGAAGCAGCCTCAAAGAGAACAACTGTACCTGCTGACTGAATTTAGGTTGGAAAAACAAGGTATTCAGGTTACAGTAGATCCTAAAGGTGAAAGATAATGTTAAGGTGACACATGAGGAAGAAAAGAAAGTAAGTGTGTACAGAAAAAGAGAAGGATAGAGCATATATACCAGAAAAAAAGACCAGACAGACAGACAAATGCTGTATAGGAACAGTGAAATACTATGGGAACTGTCAGACTTCCTCATATAGGATTCTATAAGAGTTCTGTGTGTGTGTTTAAAATAATTCCATTGTTTGAGTGGATTTCTGCTCTCTGTCTCAAAAACATCTCTAACAGGACAATTTCCAAGTTGCTATGGTGGTAGTGGTCATGTGCCGTGGAGTCGGTTCCACTCATAGCAACTCTCTACAGGGTTTCCGAGGCTGTAAATCTTTACAGGAGTAGAAAGCCTCATCTTTCTCCCGCAGAACAGCTGATAGTTTCGAACTGCTGACCATGTGGTTCGCAGTATGGCCTCTTGTAAATTCTCTGCCTTTGTTAAGATGAGATAATTACATCAATATGGAAGATAGTATATTATAGCAAAAGTGAACAGATTTTTGGAATAAACACCTGGGTTTATGTCTTATTTCTATCATTTTGCTAGTGGTCTGACCTTGGGCAATCACCCTGAACTTTAATTATATCGTCTATATAATAGGAACAATAACACATGCCCAACCTACTTCAGATGTTATTGAACTAAAGGAAACAGTGTTTCTGAGTGGGCTCTGAAGACTACAGACTGCTCCACAAATGTTAGCTATTATGATGATGATTCCAGATGTGAACTCACTTTAGTTACCTAGTGTCAGGACATATGGTCTTCTCTGTTCCAAAGGTAATTAGATAGTTATTTAAAGGTTTACTGGTTGGTAATAGCACTGTACATAGGGCATAACAAACAACTGTGCAGGTCACCAGAACAGCCAAAATAAATCAGTGTGTTTGATGTTACTACTATTTACATGCAAATATAGCTAATGAAAAGTACATTTGCCTAAAAAGACCCAATGATTTAGGAGTAACACTTAGCATTCAATGAAAGAGTGCCAAGAATGAAGACATGGTTCTTCCATGAAAAGCTCCCAGGCTTCTATCATTATTTAACGTGTATAGTACCTGTCTAGACAATAGGGCAGGAAACCCAAATACTGAGAAGCTAGGCTTTTCTCTTAAGATGTAAAGACAAATATATAAGCAGTTACAATTAAACTCGAATCTTCTGGGACCTTCACTGTTTCTATCAGACCACTTTCCTGCTATTCTGTTTCTTTTACAATACTTTCTAAGAGGCTGATAAACTGAATAGCACAAGAGTTTTATCGATAATTATAAGAGCTAGCTAAAAAATAAATTGCTATCTTAAATTCAAAAAGGAAGAAGAGTGTAATCTAGTAAGAAGAGGAGGACGTTCTAATTTTTACTTCACTTTTCTTTCTAGGTAACCTTCCTGATTAGAAAAAGAAATGAGCCTATTTTCAGATGCATGAAGACAACACATAATATTTTGCTACCAGGCAATAGATAGGAAGGTCTGCAAAATAAAGCGACTGTCCTAAATGCTCATACTATCTAAGGTACCTTTCAATTGAAATTAAAAAAAAAAAAAAAGGTTGCCATGAACAGAGCTCAATCACAGCAAACTTCTCACCTTCTAATCTTTTAAAATTTTATTTCAGAGAAAGTGAAAGAAAATCATTCCCCAAATCAGAAGTAGATGCTCACCTGGCTTCCAGCTGACTTTATCTCTAGACAAGTGTCATTAACCATTTATTGAATTTCACCATAATCCTTGAAAGTTGTAGCGTTGAAGATGTCCGGTTTTACTAGGCAACCGACTTTCAACTACCTCTACATATGGCCAATGGGAGTCCCGGTGTGGCGCTGTGGGCTAATGCATTCGACTGTAAAGTCATTTGAACTGCAAGGTTGGGGGTTCAAGCTCACCAGCTGCTCCTTGGAAACCCTACACAGGGTTGCTATGGGTCGCAATCAACTCAACGGCACTTAACAACAACAACGACATATGGCCAAAAGTCTTTCCCTACCCTGTGAATAAAAGTTCCCTGGACTCTCATATTTGGCACTATAATTTCCAACAAACAGCAGGCTGATGTTATTCTGTAATCCTGGGTTTCAAAGAAAAAGAAAATATATATATTTCTAAATTTTAAAACTACTGTCAGTGGACCAAACTTCTCTGTGCCAAGATACTTTCATCAATATATGTACAATGTCCTTCCTCCCTCTGTGAGATTGAAAAGCCTTCCTTAAGAAACGGACTATATTGCCTTTCTCTCCCATTTCCTCAGTCCCAATTCCCAGACCCTCTGCCTTTCTATTCATATGAAGAAAACTATAAAAATAAAAAATAAAAAAATTTTAAAAGCTAAGTCTAGTGATACTAATAAAGAACTATGAATGCCATTTTCCTTGGTATCCATGATTCATGCATACAAAATGTGATTTTGTAGACTATATTATATTGAAGCTCCCAATCATTTTGATCAGAACCTGATGCTGACAATATTCTTCAACTAATGTTGTAGTCTAATCAGTGGCAAGTAACACAAATTCATCCTAACAACTCTAGATACCTAGTCAAGCTAGTGAAAACAGTAAAAGAGAAAAAGTGACATTTTAGGAAAAATAAGACATTTCTCAAAGGTGAATGAAGAAATAACAAAAGATGTCATTCTACACTTTTAAGCAATAGAGGCCCATTATGAAGAGCACAGTGGACCACGTGAAAAGGTATAACTGATTTGTACACAAGGCCCAGAACTTAGTACATCCAGTAACATATAGCCTTGACTGCCTCCAATGAGAGAAACTTTACCTCAGTAAGTCCAATGTTCTTCCTTTTAATGACATTCAACAGAGAGTTGCTTAGAGTCCTGGTGAGTAACAGGTTTGTAGATTTACGAATCATGTCGTCAACTTCAGTTGAACTGAAAAAGAAGTGTCATTAGTAAGTCATACCAGGTAGCAGAATTACTTTGGCAACCACAGAGGCACTTGTAATAATAATAATGAGGAAGAAGAGGGTAAAAGCAGCAGCTATAAATAACACTTCGTGCCAGGACTAGTTTAAGTAGTTTAGAGTCTTAAACCCATTTAACCTTCACAATAACTATATAAAGTAGGCTTATGTATAATCGCCGCATTACAAATGAGGAAATGAAAGGAAGTAACCTGGTCAAAGTCACAGTGAGTACACAGTCCAAAACCAAAGTAAGCTAGGTAATACAGCTCTAAAACCCACAGCACTGAAACTGTGCTGCATGAAGTACCTCCCTGAGTAAACAGAGCTTCCCAGCATGGTTTCCCCTCCTGAAACCATTATTTCTCCCATACAGGTAGTCCCTGATTTATGTCACATTCTAGTTTCAATGAAATACACTTAGCATGAGGATCCTTTTGGGGGGTACATTTTATTGTTAGTAAAATTTACTAATACAATGTTACAGCGTATGATTTTCTGATGTTATCATACTCACATGTCCTGAAGATGAAGGAGGAGAGAAATGGTTGAAAAAATTCAGTTAAATGGGTAGCTAAAACTTTTCAGTTACTTGACATTAGCCCTGGTGGCACAGTGGGTTAAGCACTGGGCTGTTACCCATAAGGTTGGAGGTTCAAATCTACCAGCTGCTCCTCAGGAAAAAGATGAGGCTGTCTGCTCTAAAGATTTATAGTCTTAGAGACCCAAATGAGCAGTTTTACTCTGTCCGATAGGGTGGTTGTCATTAACAACCTGCGATATGCAGTTGATACAACCTTGCTAGCTGAAAGTGCAGAGGACTTAAAAGATTGACTGATGAAGATCAAAGAGCACAGCCTTCGGTATGGATTACATCTCAATGTAAAGAAAACAAAAATCCACACCACTGGACCAATAAACAACATTTTTATCACCGGAGAAAAGGTTGAAGTTGTCAAGGACTTCATTCTTCTTGGATCAACTATCAACACTCA